AAAACATTTGCGATTTAGGATCTATGAATCATTTTATCTCAATTCAATTTAATCGTGTTTTTATATAGGCTGGAAATGTGAAACCGGGCCTAGTCTACTGGCACAGAATTTTTCGCCGATTCCGGATCTGTTTTGGAAAATTGCGGAAAAGTCCGATTTCCAAAGATACGGCTGTTTTTGTGGGCATGGTTTTTTCGGTCTATAAAAAGGCTCTTAGTTTATTTTTCGGCCCTCCATCCAATCACATTTTCAAAATTTCGAAAATTTCACAACGCCGAAGATATGTTTCCCGCGCCCCGTTACCCTATCGATTTTGATCTTGTTTGTTCGATAAAAATTACATTATCTCGGGTATATTTTTTGGCGCTCTACCGAATGAAATTCGCGAAATTCTACAGTGAAGGCGGATTTTATAATTACGAGTGCCCCCCGTTATTTCCCCCCATCCCCATCCTATGCATACAGGCCCGTACGGGAGCCGAGATTTAGGGGGGGGACACCCACCCCAAAAATTTTTGGCGACCTCCCCCTTCCCCCGGTCGCCACTTTCAAAAAATTCGAAAATAGCGACAATAACAGCGCCGCAGGCGAAAAAATTCAGCATACCGCGTTTGTAACGCTTAAATTCGTGTCAAAACACATCGGAAACGGCGCGCGCAAGCGAACTTTTGTTCAGGAAAAAAGGTGCACTAATGAAAACCAGCGCCGCAGGCAAAAAATTTTAGAAAAATGGGTTTTCTAGAAGTAAAAATCGTTGCGAAACAGTGATAAACAGCGCCGCAGGCAGAAAAATTTTGCGAAAAAATCATAAGGGTCCCCCCTTATGAACTTTTCGGACCTCGACCGATTTCGGGGGCACCGTGCCCCCGGTTCCCCCCTCGTACGGGCCTGTATGCATACAAACTGCCTCCAAACAATAGAAAAAGCGCCGTAACTTTTGAAAGCGGGATTTTCCAAAAATTTGGCAAATAGCTTCGGAATCAGCGCAAAATTTTGTACATGCTAGGCTAGGTCGTTAATATTTCCAGCCTATGTGAAAACACTGTACAGCAAGATACTTACCGTCCACCAAAACCAAAGCCTCGATCAGAAAAAAATCAAGTTTGTTTGGAACCGGAAACACCCTTGTCGCTATCCGGTTAATAGGCCCCTCGACGCGCCCCTTGATGGGTAGTGGCACGGAATCAATCTGGAATTCGATGATAAAAATAGATGATAGTCAGTCAAGGTGGCATACAAATCCTATCGTTGACCGGAAGAAATACAACCGGGTACAGGAGAGCAGCAAGATCAGTTGGCCGTGAACTTTCAAATCCCAGCCGTCGATCGAATCGGAGTCCAGCTGAAGTTTTTTTATGAGAAATGTCCGAATGCAATCTACCTCCCCCAGATGTGATCTACGAGATGGCCATACTATCAAATTAAGTTTTTTTTTGGGCTAGAAAACCTCTGCTATACATTATTTCATCATGAAAATAATCCGCTTAGTACATTTCTTGAAGTTCTATCAGTTAGCATCTTCGAAATACCCAAAAAAATTTTACAAATTTGGCTTTCCCCTTTATCCTATGATCTATATAATTGGTAATTAATTAATAATGTAATCTTATGATTGGGCAACTCAGTATTAAAGTTCTTCGCGATAAAAGGTCTGCCGCAGCATTTAGACTGAATGTTTAGTTAGGTCGATTCCCACTGGAATGCCAAATGCCACACCAAATGCCAAATGGCGCTATTTGGGACACATGTACCAATTGAGTACTTAACCATCTAACCAACCTTTGGAAACTCCAAGGAAGTGCTTTTGCCTTCAAAACACGACACAATCACATTTGTGCCCTCCTCGTACAGCATGGTCACCTTCTTCACCCGCTCGTACGCCGTCAGATAGCGGTTCATTCCCGCGTTCCTCGGCCCGCGTAGCTAAATACAGGGCGTGGAACTGACGAAGCCTTTGAAAGTGAAATCGTTATATTAAAACTCTTCGCTTTATTTGAGACTGCTACATCGAAAGGCGCCCGCAAAATATTATAAAACTAGCAGCAATATTGAAAATTTTGAGACCTCCGAAAAACGTCAAAAAATGAAAACTAGCAGCTCAACCTGTTTCAAAAGTCATTTTTTTTGCTATTACTTTTGAATAGGGAACTGAACATACAGTTCTTCGTATGTTTTGCGGAACTCTATCGGACAGCCTCCAAATAAAGCCTAATAAATGCCAAAAGTTCAAGTTCAAGTCAAGACCCGCTTGGTTTTAATCATCGACCAGACCAAAAAAAACTGTGCTTACCGCCAGCTTCATTGAAAGCAAATCCGGATCGCCAGCGTTAAAAAACCACTTAGAACTCGCATCCAGGGTTTTTGGCAGCTGCGTATCCCCTTCTATTTGGGCGACACAGACCATCTTCCAGTTTTCGGGCAGCCTAAGGAAGCATTCACGGTAGGCGGTGGCTAAGATACTCTTCTTCCAAGATTTTCTAGCAATTTTTCGACTTTCTTATTCTTTCTCTCTCTCTCTCTCTCTCTCTCCCTCTCTCTCTCTCGTTCTCTATCTCTCTCTCCGCCATCTCTTTCATACTTCTTTATTTAATGCAAAAAGTAGATATTGAAAATAAAACTAAAGCACCAAATGACCCGTAGTGGACGGTGCTTGAATTTTTTTAGTGGGTTTATTGGTGAACTGTTGGCTTTCTAAAATTCCTCAAATACGGAGAGCAAAACCCACGCTTTCCAGTGACCAAAAATATAAGCGAAAAGGGAGCTGAGGCGTAAAACGGCATATTTCAGAGCACGCGTATGCAGAAATACAATGGCGTCTGAATGCCTTATTTTAACCATTAAAAGGAAAAAACCTTTTTCATCCGGCAACAAATCTGTTTGGATCTGTACGATATCTTCGCCTCGATCGAACACGGGAAACAGATATTGAGTGCCTGGGGTTTGCGGCAGGTGAGGGGCGGAAGCACGAATTGGGATGAGCTCGATGCGGTGGCCGATCGCTAGAATTCATAAGTAAGATCCCTTCAGAAGTCATAAACCGGATTTAAGCGACCCAAAGTCACGAGTTAAGGCCTGGGTTTGGAATTAGGCGTCCGCTTAGGTTCGGGCTTAGGCTGAGGCTTAGGTGAGGCTTAGGCTTGGCTCGGGCATAGGCTTAGGCTTGGACTGGATCTTGGGCTTGGGCTTGGGCTTGGGCTTAGGCTTAGGCTTAGGATCAGGCCTAGATCTAGGCGTAGGCGCCGGCTTGGACCCGGGCTTACGCCTGGGCTTAGGCTTAGGCCTGGGTTAACAAAGGGTAGCCTTGGGTCCCAACTGTCATCTCCCGGTAAAACTACAAATAAAAACAAAAATACAACTCTCCAAAAATAAATTTTAAAATCAATAAACTAGTGTTCGACAGAACGCCCAGATTATGCTCCCCTTTGCCATCATAAAAATTTTATTTCAGGCCCTTTTCAGTTAAAGTTCAAAATTTAGGGTGGTTTTTTGATGCTCTATCAAATTGTCTTTTCAAAATAGCCATAACTAGCGAAAATGTTGACGATAGCTTACATCCCCATCTTCAAAAATCATTTCTGTGTGGCTCGCTCTTTTTTGAATTGCGTTATTTCGAGCTGCTCATCAAACTATTCAAAAATCCAAATCAAAATGGAAAACCTCAAACCTGCGATTATATAGTTCTTTCCGCAGAATTTCAACTCCATAATCGCGCTCCTGGGAGATTGGGTCGGCGGATAAAACGTGGGCGCCGAGCGTCGTGGTCGAGAATCCATTTTTTCTAGATTTAACGTAAATAATTGGTAATTATAAATAAAGATACAATAAACGGTAATTTTTCCTTAAATGGGGGATGAGACGGCGCATTTGTCTGATTCCCCCCACAGCATTCCTCGCGTAAGCAAATCCCCAGAATGAGTCATCGGGCCCTTGCAAAGGGCAAAACATGTGCTTCGGAACCTTTCGAAGAAAACCTACGCGCTAGGTTGTTTTCAAATGTCAAAAAAAAGATAAATTGAAAGCAAAACCGGCAAATTAAATCGAGAAAAGCATCCGCTAAAATGGAGATAGGATCAAAATTCGTGTTTTGTTGCGAAATTCAGACTAAATTAAAAATTGACACGTTGCCACATGTTTTTGAATTTCTGCGCCCCCTCCCCCTCCCCCCGAAACTTATCTGCCCCCCCCACCCCCGAAATTTCGGGGGAACTACGGGCCTGCCCGGTGGGGCCCAAGTATAATTAAACGGGCGGTCTCCCCATGCGAATGCTTCTCATATCAACGCAGATGTCATACCAATGTCATTTCAGGGGAGCCGAAGTCGGAAGCCGGACGGGTGTAGTAGCAAGTGCCCATTCCAGCAGTGAGAACTTGGCATTTAAAGAACAGTGAAAGATAAAGAAAATGAAGCAACAAATTCTACGGATTTTGCAGTTGTTTTTCCTAGCCAATAATATGGCCCAAAACGCGGGCCACAAACGATTGATTAGAACTTGATTGAGTTACAGGAGAAAATGTAAAGCTAAAGAAAGCCAAAAAGGTTGAAAGCTCCATACTGGTATTTTTATACATTTTTTACATCATTTCAGCCGGCATCCCACGGAATTTTTTAGACCTTTTTCTATATGAATTTAGACCTTTCTCCTACATGATAAGAAATTATTTCAATGTGCTACTTATTTGAAGGAGTGAGGCTTCTCTTGAGCCCCTAAGCTTTTCTTTTAAGCTTGTTTATCTACGCAAATCGTCTATAAATAGGCTTTATTAGGCAGGATTTTCGAACCGTAAATCATCAGGGACCAACACCAGAATATGCATTGGAAGGTAGTAAGGGGGCAAGAGATGCATGAGCCACAGGCAAGAGTGAGCAATATACAAAATTTAAAGCATAATTAGGTTTTCTTCTCGGTGAGGCATCTGCACGCGCGTACGATTTGTAGATGATCTTCATTGTACAGAATCGCATGATTTCTAAAAAAATAATCGTGACCCCGGAAGTTTTACCGTAAGATCGGTGCCCATTTCCCGAATTTGGCTTGCGTGGCCCTTGCTGTTAGGCATTTATCTGGGAAGAAATTCTAAAAAATAATTTACTTTAGAAACGCCACTTAAAATTACCGGGCTCCCATTAGATTTTTTGGCCAACAGCCAACCAAATTCACCATCTTTTTTGTGGAGGAAGAAGGTCGGGCCTGGAACAAAATATTTAGATTTCGGCAATTTTACATTATCGGGGAGGGGGATTTCCCCGAATTTCTAATGTTTTTAAATAAATATATCAATCGTTTTAAATTTCATTTTATAAAGACATGTTTTGCTCAAAAATCAAAAAATAACGATTTTCGTCCAAAATTTCGAATTTTTGAAAGGAGCTTAAGATTTTTTGGATAGTTTTGCGCTTCTAATAGATTTTCGATTTACCACAATTTAAAAGCAGCAAAAAACCTTTCGATTCTGTTAATAAACTTCTGATCGTATGCAAACAAACGAACAAAACGACAACGAAAGAGAACAAGACGAAACGAACATAAGACTTCGCCCCACCCCCCCCCCGATAATGCGAAAGAAACTAGATTTCAAAAAAATCAAAGGTTACCAAATCAAATCAAAGGGGCTATTAGTAATTTTCCAAACCTAAAATCTGATTAATACGAATCCGATAAAAAACAGAAAGCCCTACCACCATCCGCTTCGATCGTACTCGCCCGTTGCAACATTGCGTCGACCATGCGTGTTTTTACCGTATAATAGGTATCCTGCCACCGCAACTAAATTAAACTTTTCAGTTTGACGTCTTTCAATCGTACCGAATATAATTTTCCGCGATCTTCAATTGCCTCAAACGCGGCCACCTCTTTGACAAATTCGAAGGACTCGCTTTCTAAGTCCCAGACACCGAATTTCTATAAAAAAATGTCATGAACGTTTGAAAATTCCTACGAATCTCGTTGGGTTTGCGGCGATTGGTCAGTAAACTTCTAAAGTTGGCTCACCGTCCGGGTTGCGTTTGAGCAGCAGCTGAAATTGTTATTCAAAGCAAATCAGGGGATGGAGGTGCATATAAATGGAGAAGGAACTTTCTTAAACGGGAGCGCGGAGCCCTGTACGTTCGAGGTCTCTGTACGCCCAAAGCGCGCAAAGCGCGCAAATTTGAATTTCCCCATCGTGACTTCCAGGACCCCTGCTCTGCGTTTTCGGAGCCAAATCGGTGATTAAAAGACCAAAGTTATTCAGAATTCTTTGAGGATTGCAGAAAACAGGTCAGAGTCTGCGAATTATAGTGTTCTCACGACCAAATCGAAGAACGGCTATCGCCACGTCCTGATTTCGGTCTCGTCCCGCGTGAAACGCTGACTATTAGCCAGAAATCAAAGAGCCGTCCCAAACGGGGTTGCTTAGGCTTAGGCTTACACTTCAGCCCCGCGTTAAGCAAATCTGATACCTTAAATTGTTGCCCCGGTTCGAACGAGCCTGGGCATTGCACGCGCTCATCGTCGTGGATGTATGGCTCCGTTTGCCTCACGTTGACGCAGATTTTTCTAAAGCGAAGGCCTCAATATGAAAACTGTTAGAAGCTAATTGCTCTCGATGCTCCAACAAATGCACTGTCGAAGGCTGATCTTTGCGCAAAAGCGTAAACGATGGCAAGGCAGACCCAATAAAGTAAACGTCTGCGTTCGTCGGGCTCTGGGCCGCGTAAAATACATGGAAGATGCCTTGTTGGAAATATTCAATCTAAATACATCTTAGCCGACCGTTTGATCAAACCATAGATGGTGGATAGATACTGCAAACGCGCGGTCCGACATGGAAAATGCTTCTGGAAACAATCGCGACTTCCACGTCTTCACGTGGCTGCGGCGGACCAGCAGATCCGCAGGACGGGACTGTAAGGAAATAAGGTATTTAGTTTTATACAGGACACGGTGTTCCGATAAAAACACCCTCCCCCCCCCCCTTCAACTCGATGGAGAAGCATCGGATCGCAATTCATTTGACCATTCGAAGGCTCTTGAAACGGCCAGTTTGCATCAATCTTCAAAACCATGTTTGTAATTAAACAGGTCATTTTATCACTAATTTAAAAACCTTAAAGAACGGTCTCTGCATCTAATTAACGGTCAGCTCCGTCCATTCGCTTCAGAAAATTTAACCAAAATTGGCTCGTATGCAACCCCAAAAAAAAATCTTAAAAGCTTATTGTTGCGTTGCTTCGGCTTCGGGCGCCCCCGCCTGTTCCCTTCACTCCCCGTTGCCTTCGCCTGTCCAGTGCCCTGTCACCATAACGGAGCCGCGTCGCGTCTGCGGCGCGCCCGCTCTCCCAACTGGCCCTTCGATGGCATATTTTCCCCGGTTCTACACTCTGATTCCCCAGTATTATTCCTGCTTCTAAATTCCGCCTTGCTCATCTGTGTTTTTGAACAAACAGTGGTTGCACTGTTCGCCCAGCTGCGCAACAACCCCGCTCAAGGCACAACACTTAGGTAATGGTTTGTAAAATAAAGCTTTTGGAGAAAAACATAGTTTTGAAGATTGATGCAAACCCGCCGTTGCAAGGGTTTTCGAAGGGTGTAACTATCATTCCGATCCGATACGTCTACTTATACTTACGTTAGAGGGGGGCTGTTTTTAATGGGATACTCTGTACAAAACAACAACGTAGCCAACTGGTATGAAACAAAAACTTACCATTTGGCTGTCCGCCCAAATAAAATTCCAAAATTTCGACGTCGGCCTGCGTGGCCAGGATTATATATCCTTTGATATGACAAGCGCCAAGGAATTTGTTTTTGTTGGCCTAAAAAGGGCGCTATACAAACCACTTGAAGCCTCTTACTGCCTCATGGACACCTGTAAATGCCACATCAACGCAAGGGTAGCGGGGATAATGCTCATTCACGACCGTTAGTTTCTCTGAAAATTCAGATCAATCAATTATCGTGCACCTTCTCACCGAACTCCGGCTGATACACCATCAACGTTAGCGCCGGTCCGATCGCCGCAATCTGAAAAATCCGACCGGTTCTATTACCTCATTTCCAGCACATATAGCTACTTGGAAATAACCCACCAAGCTAAATCCATGTTCATCTACCGGCCATGTAACAATTTTGTCAACCTTGTGGTTAATCAACGGAGGTTGTAGATGGGTCAACCGAGTTGCTGGGAACCATAGGTTCACCTGGCAAATGCGAGGGCTTCCAAGAAAAAGTTTTTGCATATATACCGTTTTTGAGGTGAAAGAACCGAAGCCGTATTTGATCGTCTGGTATTTCATTTGCAGAGAATAGGTGCCATCACCATCCGGCTCGCGCCTGAAAGATTTTCCTTCCAGGCACCCGCAATAAATCTCACAAATCATAGTAGTACTTCGGCAACCCGGCAAGGCCGCGCAAGTCTGGTTTACAGGAGGTCATGTTGTTATAGTTCTCTTCCAAGTCATAAACTGCCGCTGTCAAAATCTAAAAAGCCATCCGCTATTACGCATTGCAGTACCTTTGTTCCGTCATGACGCGTTCTCTTGGAAAACCCGAAAACCTAAAGTAAAACTTTGGTGTCACTTCCAATTTGCAGCCAACCTGTATGGTAGCGTTGGGCGACCACCGGAATGCGCGCGCTTGAACCATGCCCGGGATACTTCGCCAACGAGTCTGTAGCGCTCCATTTTCATCTAAAAGGAATTTATATAAGGTGTCCCCGAAAAAGTGTGCCCGATTTTTACATTTGGGTATCTATCGAAGGCTCTCGGCGGGATGAGGAGAGATGGTCTTCTTACTTTCGAAACTCCGTTACCTAACATTTAATAATGTTGTCAGATTTTATGATGCTTTGACGTTTAAAGGGCTGCCGACGGCATGTGGCATCAACAAATTGGCAAGTAGCCAACAGGGGAGAGAGCGCGCTCAGGGGAGAGGCGCAGAGACATTTTCTTTACCGCGCGTAACCGATTGACTATGTCGTCGGCATCCCTTTAAATCTTCGCGTTCGCGTCAGCGGCTAGCGTTTGGATTTTTAGGGACGGCCTCTATATTAGGTTAGAACTAAAGTTCGTACAATCGAACATTGAAAATTTCTTTCTGAAAATTTAGTCGGCAGAGAAAAAAAGATGTTCCCTCCTTCCATATCCATTGGGTCCATGAATATGTGGGAGGAAAATGACAGGCTAGAGCCGTTTTTCATTTTCGCTTTAACATTCTAAGGTACCAACGCGATTCTACCCCACTCTTCGAATGGAGCATTTTACTGAACATTCGTTCATACAAGAAACATTCTGATTCTTGCCAGTTTTCCAGTTTAAAAACCAAAAAGAATGAAAAATATTGCTAGAACGAGAGTTCGATAAACGCACGTGGGTAATGAGGCGACACGAGTCCCCATCTGTAGTAAACCACATAGCCACATTCAAGCAGGACCAGAATCTCGCGATCGTTTGGCGCGATAAAGTCGACAATTTTTCGTTTTCGCCCTTTGTCGCTGGCTAATGGAATTCGTGGGCCGCGCGGCAACCTGAAATGGGTTGGGTTGGATAATTCAAACAGCGCCTATATTATCAAAATGGATCGAGCAGTAACTGAACTAGCTGGCAAATCCTTACCTATAACGGCCCTCGATGAACGTCTCGATCTCATGGAACTTGTATGTGTTCGTAGTGCTCTCCATCAAGAAATAATGACTTAATTTTGGGACTAAAAATTAAAAATGTTAAAAATACTTGGTGACCACGACGATACGGTTAGTCATCACTGTCAGCAGAAATCCCGCTTTTATAACGGGAACGTTGGCGAGTCTGAAATAGTGGAGGACTTCGAGTGAGCCTAACAAAAAAAGGTTTTGAGTTACTTTTGGAGTTTTAATATGTCGCATGCCTTTTCAATAGTGCTGCAAATCCTGAACAGAACGGATTTTTTTCGTAAACTGCTGAACGATAAAGGTCTTCGTGAAAAAGCTTATCAATTTTGACAACTTGGGAAGTGCAGGCAAAAATCGAGAAATTTTTTTCATCGCCAATCCAAAAACGGTCACTTGTAAGCCTATTCCGCAAACCAAAGCCTACGCCAAAAACATAGCAAACTAGCGAAATAAAATAAATTGAAAACACTCACACAGTTTCTCCTTGCAAGCCGTGCAGCAGACGGCGTTGCGGGTTAACTTCGCCCCGATCCAATAGGGGTCTTCCGTGCACGCCGTAAACCTTAAACAGTTTTTCATGAAGCTTGTTTGTTGCCCACCTTGATTGAACAGGTCCGGAGATCCGTAACGATGAAGCAAGACCCATCAGATTTACTTCTGAAATTCCTTGAGTTTGCGCGCTAGAAGCCATTTACCGAAAAACTTCGTCGGTTGAGCCCCAGTTGAAGCTGATGCTATAGCGGAGGGCTGGATTGTAGGGCAGCGTGGCGATTTGCGTCGGCTTGACTTGCACTGGCGGCCAGCCTAGGGGTTTTTTTTGGTTTTGACGACTTTCACAATTGTTTTTTTTTTTTGGGGGGGGATTGCAATGAAATCAAAAAGTCACGGAATATCTTCTGATGTTGAGCGTGCCCCAAAAAACCCGCCACCTAGCGGCCCGCAGTCGTGTCGGATTTGTACGATTTAGGCATCTATCGAAAGCTCTCGAAAAGCTGAGGAGGATTTGCGCGCATAATTTCGAAATTCCGGAGCTTTTCTGACAATTATCATTATTTTTGCAAAATGGACCGAAATTCTGATGCTCCTAGCTTTCTCGCAAATCCACAATTTATGAGCCTTCACGCCTTTTGCGCAGCCCAAGGACAGCTTTGTTAAAGCGCACATTCAGGGAGGGGCCGTGTACTCGGCCCAACGTGTACACCCTATGGATGTAGAGACCGCGCGCACTGTCTGCTCGTGCCGTGGGAGGCAATACCCGTCCTTTCCTGGGTGGGGCGCCCCTCGCCCTCCCGCCAGCTTGCACCTGGATGACTGGTATCCGAACCCGAACAGCAGGCCCGGGTTCGACCCCCGGCCGCGGCGAAGATCTTTGCTTTCTTGCCAAAAAACGTCCCTGAACGTGCCCTTTAAGGCCAGTTGAAAAAACTTTCAACTCTCAACCGACTTTCGTTTTGAAAGTTTTACACCGCTAGGCACAAAAGCTTGATACCCTAACTAAAGAATGAGTCCAAAACGGAACGTACAATTTTCAGCCTTTATATCCGCTTCGACATAGTCGACCTTGTTGTCGTTCCTCAGAATCAGGTAGCGACCCAACGCTGGATTGCTGTCCAGGAATGAAACGTAAGGTCCTGGTGGCAGATTTGGCGCGACGAAACCGAAGTCATTTTCGCGGTACTGGACGAGGTGTCTAATTTGGGATTACTTGACAAAGCTTTCTAGCAAACCCGTTGTGCAAGCAGATTCGACAGCCCGGTATCGACGTCGAAATAAGCTAAAGGGAACGGCTTTGATTGTTTTACGATTTTCGATCGACTGCCGAGGCTTAGGCTTACTAGGGAAGTGCAAATAAAAAATCCGGAAAATCGCTTGCAAAAATATGGGTCTGATAGAGTCGACGACGGGGATTCCGAATCTCTTGTAAAAATTTGCAAAACGCTTAATACAAAAAAGTTATGAGCATTTTAAGTCTTTACTCTTTGGGAGGGGCTCATAAAGGAGGGAGGAATCAGTGCTGCAAAACTAGTTCATGAGCAACCTGAGCAATCTCTTCCTTACGGAGCTCGGGCACCGGCAGCTCAAGATGACGGTCAATCAATTCGGGTTTTGGCTTGGCCTTCCTGTCCAAGCGCGCGATTCCATTAGCCCCGGCCACACACTAAAGTTTATGGTTTTACGTTGTTGTAATTCGTATTTATCCACTGATCGTGAATGAGTACCTCATGCCAGGGGTCCCAGGCGGTAATCCTGCCAAGGCACGGGCTGTATTGATGGAGAATATATATCTGGTTGTTTAACCGGTCCACAAAGTAGCGCAGTATCATATCTGAAAATGGAATGATTTGTTCTCCAATTTTTTTTGTCTACATGGTGTCTGAAGCGTCTGTTTTTTACGATTTTTGTAGTTATCGAAAGTTGTAGGCGAGCGGAGGGATTTTTCCGATCCCGAACTTTTGGCTCGATTTTCGACACTTTTGCTGCCAAGAAAACACGTTTTTCAAGATAAAAATCAACTTCATCGTTTTAGGTGCATCTCGGCTGTGTTTTCTCAAATGGCTTTTAAAAAGTTGGGCCCTCGCAAAAAAAAAACGTGAAAATTCAGGATTTGTGATTTTGTAAGAAACCCGGTTGATCGGAGAAGCATCAAAAAATTCGGTCAGTTTCCAAAAAAAATATTGGTTTATGTAAATAAATGGAATTTGGATAACCGGAAAGGACATTTCTCCTCAGTGTTTCTCCCCCTCTAACTAGTAAGAGCCTTATTTAACTCCTCAGATTTCCTTTTTCTTGGGACACGCTGTATCAGTCAATGTTTTCCTAAATATCATAGATCCTACCATCAACCACTACCAAGAGATCCGTGTACGGTTCATTTCTCGTTCTATGATTAACCGCTTCCATTCGGTGATAGGGACCAGCTTCTGCAGATCCTTTGATTGGCAGCTCCAAGTAAGTAACCTAAACCCTTCTTTCTTGTATTTGTATGTACTTTTATACCTTTCCAGATTTTTCGTTAAAGTAGTACAAGCGTTCCAGCGTCAGCAGGTAGATGTCACCACAGCACATTTTTAAATCCCATCCATCAAATTGATCACCTTCAACCTGAAGGACTATGATATCCAAAAAAATTATCTACAGCATAAAGAACAGCGGAGTATTAGGTAAGTTAACGCAAAATTTGTAAAGCCCGAAAATTTTGGCTTGATGAAATATGATAACGTATTTCCTCCAATAAAATCCGGGGTTCTATTTTTTTCAATCATATCAGCGGAGGGGTTGTATTAGAGGAAAAAATATATTTTTCGTGATTTTGAGCAATTACAACGATTTCTAGAAGTTCAAACTGCCCACACCAATCAATCAGGAACACAGTACAAAGCTTAAACAAAAACGTTATTCGCATTTTTTTACGTCTTCAACGCTACTTTGGGGAAAAATTCGGGGGAGAAGCACGATAGAGCAAATACGGTAGCTCCAAAGCTACATATTACAGCTAGCCCATGATCTTACTATCATACATACCTTTGGAAAATGGAATCGTTGCCTATCCATGCCGTAGATCCGCTCCACGAAATTGGTACCTTCAGCATAATAGGCGTTCCAACTGGATAACAAATCCCAATTGCACAAATATCGTCGCTTCTCACGTCTAAAAATCATGCCTGGCCCTATTTAAATACTTCAATTCCATCATCTCACATATGCCCCGAAAAAGACCTCCACTTACACGTATGAGCTAGCTGAATCCAGTACAATGCATTTAATAGATTTCTCATTGCTCGAAAAAGCCGCGTCTGTGATGACGAAGGATATCGGCCCATAGAACTAAACGCATTGATATTGTCGGTTCTTCGAGGGAATTTATACTATTTACTAATTTTCGCTTACCGATAAGTTGTGCTCGTACGGGTTGTACGTCCATACGGAATTTTTGGCAACATTGTGGAGATCCAGTCGCCCAGGACCGTCTATTTTGTACATATCGACGACGGTCTTCCAGTTTTTCAGTGGCCTGAGTCAAGTGAATTCTGATTTTTGAGAGCCCTTTTTGAGAGCTTTTGAGATTTTTCCACGCGGTCGTCTTCTATCCGCTGGGATCCGGATTTTCGTCAGCGATGGGTACACGCAAAAATTTGTGCAGCGTAATTTTCAAAGCTAAATACCGTAACACAAAAAAGTTGTGACGAAATAATGTATCTTCTGCCATTTTTACTGAGATTTTGAAGGTTTTTGTTGCCGAAATACTTCGCAAAATCCGAGGACCCTTTTTCTAAAAACTCTTTTTTTTTTGCAAAAATTTTGATTTATGAAAACAACGTCGAAGTTGACTTCCTATCAATTTTATTATCAAAATTCAAAAACAAATCCTACTATCCTACTATATATAAAAAAGTAGTGTCTGTGTGTGTGTGCCACTTTGCATGCAACTTCCGTCACCATGTCCGGAGGATATCTCGATCGGCGATTAAATTTAAGGTACGTATGATACGTCATTAGGTGCGTAATAGCTCTGGGATGACTGCACGATTATCAGATTTAACAAAATCAGCTGTTTTCAACATTAATTTTCAGTTTTTCTAAAAATTTCGGGCGCCCTCTTTGTTAGGAAACAATTAGCATCCGCCGCAAGTTGAAGTAGCTTATATAAAGGGGTGGAGGGAGTGTTTTTCATTTTTTTGTCTTCGGAATTCGGGCACAATTATGCAAAGTGAATAACATCTTGGGATGAGACGGGGCCAGGGTTGAAAAGTCGCGAAGCGGCTTTTCAACCCTGGTATATAAAAAAAATAGTGTCTGTGTGTGTGTCTGTGTACATTTGCATGCAACTTCCGTCAGGTTGTTCCAGTAGTATCTCAATAAGGGGAGTAGTTAAGGGCATATTTGATACGTCATTAGATGCGTAATGGCCTGGGGACACCAATAAAATTTTCAAAAATGAGCTGTTTTCGACGTTAAAATTAAGTTTTTTGTTGAAAAATGGGCCACCCTCTTTGTTAGGAAACAATTAGCATACGCCGGAAGTTGCGGTAGCCTATATAAGGCAGGAGAGGTAGCGTTTCTCATTTTTTGTCATCGAAAATCGTGAGAATTATGCAAAGTGAACAATATCA